TTTTAATTCTATCTCACACAAAAGGCTATATCAATCCAAATCAGATGTTGTTTTAAAATGGCACTTCTGAATACATCTTTTCTATTTTGTCTTCTCTATGACTGTAATGTCTTTAGTCCTACTGAAGCTGGATGAACCTCTTCTTTAAAAAAATCTGTTCTGTAAATTACTCCTACATATCCTGCCTGAAAACCGCAAAACACAAAATATCCGTCGCTCATCTTTATTGTTTGTTTTTAACCTCTAACAGCTGATACTGCATAAAAAGTTAAACACATGACAGGGAATATCCCCTCAGACTTTTCTAAAACACAAAATATCTCTCATGAAATACCATAGGAAATTGGATGCTGGAGGACACTGAAATAGTTATGAATTCTAAAATAATATAGAAAGAACAGAATAATATAGAATTCCTTTTCAGTGAATTTTATGGAATTCTTTTCAATAATTGCAGTAGATGGCAAGATACAAAAACTCAGAATAAACACTAATTGAAATGTATCACATTTTTTAAGTTAGAGAGAGTAGAAATTTTCTATTCTGAAATTCAGATAGCTATGCTTACTAAGGTACCTAGTTAAAAGCAGAGCTGTTTGGAAACTTACCTTTCAAAGTTTCCTTATAATTATGTTGTCATAGTAATGCATTTTTAACAGTACTGATTCATAGGCCAGTAATGTTCTAGAGTTGGAGCTCCTGATATCTTTCCAGTGTTCAGTTATGTTCAATAACAACTTTAGCAAATACACAAGTACCAGTCTACTTGCACTAGTAGAGGAACAAGTGATCAGAGTTAAATTACACCAAAGCTAACATTACATAAAAGCTTTAGTAGCTTAGCTTAAGAAGGACAAGGGAGAACCTATATTATCACTGCCTCCCTTTAAAAAATGTTAAATGTTTCAAAAGAATGGTTCAAAACCCTAAACTATCATCTGACTGGGCAAAAAAAAAAAAAAAAAAAAAAAATTCCCAGAAGTGTTGCTTTCGTATATCAGTACTTATATGGGACACTGGGCAGCCTTGGAGAACGTGCGCTGATATATAGGAAATCACAGAGCTTTGCTGAAGTTGTTTTAGCATTTCTTATTTTCTGTATACATAACAGATCAGTAAATTACACATACTTATAAGGTTTCAGAAATAACAGGAAACCATACTCCAAAGTCTTGGACTGTATACCTTTATCATTTCCAAGGATCTGATAGCACATGTCACCATGAATATGTCTGTGAGAGACACACAAATCATGCACAAAGAAATTGTCTGATATTTCATTCCTTTTTCATTTGGGATATGAAGACTAATGATGATATGCATTACATTTTAGTATCAGGCAAAACGTAAGTGAATCTAAGAGAGAGGAAGAAGAAAACAGTGTTGGTCTCTCTGTAGGTGAGAAAGGAGGAGAGTAGAAAAAAGGGACAAATCCTTTTCCTGAGGTCTCTCTCTAGAAAGGATAAGGCCTAAACTGTAAGAAGTAGGTTGAGAAAAGCATTATGTGGCACACACCCTCTGAATGCTCCTTCCAAGGGCTGATGAAGGGGTGGATATACCGTGAATGTAGTTACTGTTCTAATAAATATGTTTTAATGAAGGTGTCCATTGATTTGGTTATGAGGAATGCTTAACCTCTAAATATATACCTTTTCAAATATTCAACAGTGATAATTGCTCACTTGGAAGTTTCTGACCTTCCCTGGATGATGTGAGAAACACTCCTTCTTAAGTCAGACGTTAAAAGCATGCAAGCTAGAGAAAGCTGTGCCAGTGCTACATACACTAAATTTATTTGTTTCTTATTATATGACCTAAGTGTCCCCATAACTAAACCAAGATAAAGGCTTTTCAGACAGAAGCATGATGGCAATGGCAGAGAAAGTTACTAAGAAAACTTTTGCTTCCCTCTCACTCCACTGGAGTATGCTTTTCCTTAGGATTAAAGCTAATCTAACATCTTGAGTATCTTGGGAAGAAAGTGGAATACACAAGCTGAAGCAGATGTATACACTAAGACTTCCCAGAAAAGAAAGATAATAAGAAAGAAGAAAATTTATGTATGGAAACTTTCACCCTTTATTTAGAATAGATGGTACTTTGGTTAATTAACAAATCACTTTTTCCTTAGCAGCTGTAAATTTTCTCCTTTCTCTTTTTCTGGCTGTTGCTGCTTTGTGATTCAAAAAGTGCATCTTTAAAATTAGTAGAAGTTCCATGTCTGAGGAAGAGATCAGCAGTCTAGAAGGCAGGCTTACAGTAGTTGGGATTACTGCATCCTTCTAATATGGGCCCAGAGTAAGAGTCTGTCACCAGAGTAGTGCAGAAGATGCTGATCAGTACTGGATCTTATTCAGTCACATTATCTCAATTGTCTTCACTAAGTCTTGAGATCTCGTGAGAGGCAAAGCTGTTCAGCATTTGGCCTATATGTGCAGGCACAGTCTGTATGTTCCATGTTTTTACAAAATACTAAAGTAGCTGTTGCCAGTCTAGTTAACTATCTGGGGAAATGTCTTCTAAATGTAGATCAAGAACAGCACAGGCCTTTTCTGGTCTAAAAGATCAAGCACAGTACACAGCAGAGAAAAAGCTTCCTGAGGTGTTTTCTTTTTCCTAATTTTCCTTACACAATGGATATCACTTTAAGAGTATTATATCCTTAGGAGTATTTACTGTCTGGTTCTGGAGGTCCCCTGTGAATTAAGTGCTACTTGCCTGACTGCCATCACTGGCGGGATATAGATAGAAAATGAGAGAAGCCACAGCCATTTCTGGATACTGGGAAACGTGTGTGTGCTCATGAAGGAACATGGTACTTATTTAGGCCATACGGTGTGTAAGACAGGGATACACATAGAGGTAGGAACTGTGCTCAGTCTCTTTCAAAACTCTGAACACTTACTGCCTTGCAACTGGTAATACTAGAGTGCTGAGCTTAAGTGAAAGCTGTATAGTTTTCCAGCTTTTTCATCTGTCTTTAGTGGACATGGCCTCATTCACTTTCTTGAATGTATTCCTGTGTCAGTACAGGGAATTAACTTTTGCCATAGGATACTTCTAATCTACTTCTTTGCTGCTAGGCAAAATCCCTGCTATGTTTTGAATTAAATGATTGAATTAATTGCTTGTGCAAGGAAAAAAAGTGCATTGTGTTACATTTCTATTTTACTGATGGTTGTTTTCATACACTAAAATATCATTTAATAGTAACAGAAGTGACTCTGAATGGACTCTGAGATTAGCTATAAAGAAAGCTGAGATGGGGAGGCTGGAGGACAATAATACTAGTAATACAACATACTGTGAACTTAGCAGTTGCTTCACATAGAGCTACTGAGAAACCAGAAGAGAAAAAAAAATAGTCATTTTTCCACATGAGTATCCATAGCAATACTGATAATATCAGGAGCATACAGCCGTGGTGCAAGCACGTTTATCTCAACACAACAATACCACATAGGAGAGAGAGAACCAGAAGAAAACTTTTTGCTGACTTCAGCAAATATATTTGCAAATATGATTGTATTATCTACACAGAAAAGACATTTTTGTAGATCTGAAATTGGACAAAAAACGCTCCTAGGGGACTGATACACAAGAGAAAAGAGGTAATATTTAGCCATTGCTTTCCTTCTCTCCCCTATATAGTAGGCTGACAAGGTACAAAAAAATCCCCCTCAGTGTAATGGAAATATTATTGCCAGATTTTGATTGGGCTTTCTATCTTGCTTGTTTCAGAGGGAGGACAAAAGGAGAATCACAGTCTAAATTGCTGCCCCGCCAGTAAACAGAAAACACTTCTCCCTCATCATTGTTACCCTTCATTTCCCATTAACCTCCCATTCAGTGAATAACAAAGTTGACCCACTGCTCAGAGAAGTGGTACTTCATCTTGCAAAAGGTGTGGTAGTGACAAAAACATCCTTTCTGCCTGCTGGGAGCTCTGCTTACTTCTCTCCTCACCATGAAGCAGAATTAATTTCATCCAATCTCAGATAGAAAATGGTATTAAATAACCACATCTTCAGATTTCTACGTTCTTCATTATGATTATTTATCAAATGCAAGATACATGGAAAAGTTGTGGTAAATAAATATTATATCTAATATCTTGCCTTCTCTTTACCTGATTTCAGCTATGAGATAGGTAGACAGTGAGCACCCATACAAGCCAGAAGAGCAAGTTTCCAACTTATTTTAGGTTTGCAAATCTAATTATCAAGTCTTTTCACAAAGGATTTAAAATAAAAAATGCTACACCAAAAGCTTGTCTTGGATTAAGATTTTGAAGCTGTTTCATAATTTGTCACTTTGTGTGTCAACTGAGATGAGACAAATGTGTATTTGACTTCCTTCGGTAGAGAGATTTTTATAGAAAGTGCAATCTGTTTTTGCCAATCTACGAGTTGCTATCAGAAGCGGTAAGCTTTTGGTTAAATAGAAGCAGATCAGTGGGCAATGTTTTTGTCCTTGGCCTATAAGTGCAGTTATGTTGTTCATAAAAAATATGAACAGGCCTCATTATAAGGCTGTACAATTTCTTGGAAAACCAAGACTTTGACTCATTTGCATTTCTGTACTCTGCTATCTCAATAATAAAAACTGCTAGGTTTGCATAACACCTATGCTGTTATTCAGTAAACTATTCTATTATCTGTATGTTTTTAGGAAGATGTAATGGTTAGCCTTAAATATTTCATTTTGCAAAAGAGACTATGTGTCAGGCAAGTTTTTAAAAAATAGTTTCATATATCATAGATCTCAGTATTGAGAGATAGGTAACATCAATGCATTGCTACAAATTAATATCAAATAGTAAACTGGCTCTGTAAATAGGTGTGTTCTAGCAAAAAGAAACATGAAAAAGAAGGGGAAAATGGCTAAGCGTTTTAAAAAATTTATTTGTTACTATAGCCCAAGGCTTTTTCCTGATTCTTTTCTAGTTGCAATAAAAATTATGTGAAATATTTAAAATGCAAACAGGTAAGTTTACTTACTATTTCTTGGATGCCAGCGCACTGCATTTAAATATGCATTACAGTAATGGAAGAGAAATTCATGCTTGGATTGGATAATTTTTCCTTGAAGCAAGGGCATCAGATCATGTCCATCAATAATTCTGCATAAGACAGCATTTCAGAGTCAGAAGAATAACCCAAACCTCCTCTTACTGAGAATATATTATAACTGTGCATTTTCACTTCTTAAAAAAATAAATCTTCCTCTGATGATCTGAAGGGCCACCTCCAGCCAGTCAAGTTGGAGAAAAACCTTCAGGCCTTTGATTTCTACAAAATATATACATACATACATACATATATATGTGCGTGTGTGTGAGAGAAACTCTCTAACTGCTGCTGGGCAATTATGATCATGCTTTGAAGGAATCAGTCAATCTAATCTACATCAAAATGGAGTTATAAAATAAGAAAGGCATTCCATAATAAATGCCGTAAATATGTCCATTAATTAAGCCATTGAATAGCTGGAATCAACTGACAGGAAGGCAAATTGTAACCTACAATTTTGACATGGTGTGAATTACAATTTTTACAAGACGTTTTAGAGGAAATTGTCTTTTTCTGATTTATGGATCAGTAGATTATTATTTTTTAAGCATTTTGAGCAACATCTTATATAAATATTGTTGCAATGTGCAAACCCTTAAATATCAATATTAATTTTCATTATCACATGAAAACATTTTCACATTACTGTACCTATTTTTTAAAAACATTGCAAGATAGGTACTTTCTTTACTTTTTTAAGTTATAAGCCAGGTATGAATATGCAGTTCTTGGCAGCAAGTGGATGCAACACAACTATTTTGAGTAATGTTCTTCTCAAAGGATGGGCAGGAAAACATGCTGATAAACCTAAAGCACTGTTGTCTAATAATTCTGATTTCTGGTTGTGTTTTTAGGATTGATCCCTGTTTGTGGGGCTGATTAAATTAGGAACTTTCCCACTTTCAATTTGCTTGTTCTCTTGCCTGAGTAATGCCCTTTTGTATCATACCTATAACCTTAGTCACTATCACATTGAGAGTTGGACAGGTGCAGGCCTATTGCATTCACTCTCCTCTTCAGCCTCTTCAAGGGGAAAAGGGTGTCTCCAGTTATCTGTCTTCAGCATTTTTGCCTTCCCTCATTTGCTAATTACAGGGGAAATCTGAGCTTTTTCTTTCTGATGACCTATTTCTCGTCTTTATACTACCCCTCCCAGTGACTGAGCCTTAACCCTAATTATTTCTCTGATTTCTCAGGAAGAATTCAGTGGCCTGGAATGGCACAATTCAGCTGCTAGATGAAAGATGCTTCAGGATAGTCCATGAAAACCCACTCTGATCTACCCTGAAGCAGTGATTATGGTATCTAGTTACACAGAAGAATCAGAGCAGAACAACTTGTAGGTGAAGGTTACAGAAACGTATTGAGATTTCTACTGAGATCAAAACATAACATCAGTGTTTAGCCTTCACTCAAGGAATATGAAAATAAAGTGCACAAGATTTGCTCATGTTAGAACTATTTGAACATCTTAGGTCTGACAGAGTTACTACTTGCAGGGCATGTCTCAGGACAAGCCTGACTAATTTTTCATGTTCTACACCTGTCCTGCCCTGCCATTTCCTTCAAGCGTTCAATGAATCATCATCAGCACAGTGTCTCTGCTCCCCGTTGTTTCTTCAGGGACTCAGAATGTTTTGTGCTCAACAATTTTTTGTGTGTACTAGATGTGTTCAAAGCATATGCACAGCGGCAGGTTCCTCCAGATATTGGGCTTGGATCACAACAGAGTTTAGCTGAGACTTTTGCAACTTGCTTCTAAGTTTGGGAAGCCCCTGAACAAGCCAAACAGGTGTCTGTGAGAATGTCAGTAAATCATCTTATGAATTTTAAAGACTAGTGGGTTTTCTTATTAGTCTGTAAAACTCTGTAAGGGATTAATTTCATCAGCTTGGTAGGGAGAATAAATCCTAGCAGAAAAGCCCAGCTAGCATATGTTTTATTACCACATAAAAGTTTGACTACACATGCTAAGGTTTAACTCGTAAGGTTTAAAACAATTTATACTTAGTGGTCCTGTTTCCACAATATTCACTTATGCAGAATAGTATCTTTTTTGATATGTTCATCTTAATTTCAATAAATAATTTTAGGCCACGATTTGGCAGTATGTTCCTTTTGATGAAATTCTCCTCTTGTTGCCTGCTGCTTCTCCCCTCCCCTGCAGTCTCGCCACACCTATCCTTGTGATGACACAACAGTTTGTGTTGCCATGCTCTGAACGACCACAGAACTGATCTTTATTAAAAATGTCAAAAAATAGAAAAAAAAGGAACAGCTGGTGGAGAGAAGGAATAGCTTTTGTCAAAATTAAAGGGTACTGAGAAAGTAAGGGTTAGTAATCCTTGATAGGCAATATGAACTAGTAATACTGCTTGATACTCTGTTCAGCACCAGCTAATATATAGCTCTTTATGAAACAGTAGGTTTCAAGCATTTTTGCATTTATTTAACAGGAAAGAAGCAGAAAGTGTAGAAGAGATATATATGTCTTAATTGCCATTCATCTTGTCAACGGCAGGCTCACTGCTGGTGTCCAGCTTTATGGTCTGTCTTTTAGATGCGCTATTCCCTTTGACTGACTATTTTGATATTAGACCAAGTGATAGAAAAGAATTTGGAGTAAGGATTGAGGAGGAGATGTAGGGGGAAAGGACTTTTAAGTCTTCACTTAACATGAACAGAATAAACCCACTAAATTAACTGGTATGAACTAGCTCAAAACGGCTGTCCTACAGGCTCAGCTGTCTTTACGCACAATGTATTGTAAAGTGTATCAGAATGTCAATACGAAAACAGACAGCATACTACTGTAAGCAGCAAAAAAATAATGATTAAAATCCAGGTTTTCTTTCCATGCTTACATCTATCTTAATAGACATGACCAGAATATAGAAACCGCTCATGAAACTTTCTATAGAACACAAGTACAGACCACACCTGTCGTAGGGCAACTGCGCTCCTGCAAGTTTGATGACAGTAGGAAATACATCCATGTTACTTGTTGGCTCGTCAATATAGGCACCAGCCTGTATCACTCCAGGCCAAAGGAGAAGCCCAGGCACACGAATACCTCCTTCCCAGTTCATTGATTTTCCGCCTGAAAAATGGAAGTGCTGTTTGATAAAAGTTAACACTTTCTTTTTAGACATAAATCCCCCTCTAGGATTCCATTTACAAATACTGAGCATGTTACCTGGCTAGAATCATTAAATGTATTTTTTTTTAAATCAGCTACGTTTACTCAACTAAATTTTCCATGTACAATCAGTATCATTCTCATAGCAAGTCTACTAATTTACATTAAGCAGAGCTAGCAGAGTATATTTAGCTTGCAAACAAAATTAGATAACTGCTGCAGGAGATAAAAAGGCATATTGCAGGAGTCTTCATAAGAAAAATTTGGTCTGGATAATGTGTGACATATATATGTGAATATTTACCTAAAACCAGGAATCAAAAATAACTTGAGGTGTGTCCAGAGGTCTGAGGTATGAACCCAGAAAAGATATATGATTTTTTATTAAAAATAAAGGAAAGAAGTATTAGACTGTTTTAACTATGTTACTGAACTCTAATTAAATGCATTAAGAAGAAATCTGCTACAATGATGTTGGATCTTAGGATGCTAATGAAGACCTTTTCTATTTCTAAATCAACACAGTTATATCAAATGCATTATCAGCTCGTTGCACTCAATATTAATTGCAACCAATTCCTTTGCTTCTACAACATTCATCACTGCCCAGTCCTCCAGATGTCTTTGGAGAAGGATGAAGTTTACCATATTGAAAACATCTCTACGATTACTTAATATGTAATTGAGACAACTCTGTATGAAAAACTATCAATCACAAATACTATAATTAATGTCTTCACAGTAATGTGATTGTGTAGAGCACTCCAGGTTGTTTTAAAAATTAATATATCACTTGGGGAAAAAAATCTGGTCAAAGGAGGGTTTGGGGATGTGGTTAAGCATAGCTCTGGGCCATGCACTTATAACTACATTGAGACTGTTCCATATAATAATAGAAATGCTTGAAAGAAGAGAAATCTGTGCGTTGAACCCCTGCTACCAACGGAATCCAACAGCAATTCCTAGCTCAAACAGAAATATTATAAGCCTGCTTTTCCTGTATCATACCCTTCCAAGTTAAAAAAAAAAAAACACAAAAGAACAAAATATTACAACAAAGTACCTGAATAGTTCTGTCTCCTTTGCATCTTAGATCTTCAAAGCACAACACAGATTTTAATCTCTTCAGTGTCAAGCCCTGGCCTTTCCAGATATGCTCTCTTACTTACCAATTCCTCCACGATCTTTTCTATTTCAGAGTTGGGGGACTCAGAATCCACCTTTTTTATTTTTCCTCCTATAGAGGTATTTCACTGGTCAGTGACAGTTCATAAGGGTAAAGGGCAACTTCAAGAGAGACACACATATTTGGCATAAATCTTTACCCATTATATATACAGAGTCTTGTGGCTGGAAAACCTTTAGCTCATGATTCTTTGCTTACCTTTTTAACATGTTTTATCGTAATTCATAATATGGAATAGTCAAGGGTGCATAATTATGTTGTCTGACATTAGAATACCAAGGATTTCTAATATAGAACATTATGCCAGGCAATAATTCTTGCTTAAGGTGCTCTTGGAAAGCAGTGCCAAGTTCAGATTTTAACAAGACTATCAGCCTTTTAGAGCAATCTTAACAACTGACTCCTGTCATAGCATCAAATGCAATTCCATTCTCACCAGGAAGCATCTGGTTACTATCATACCTTTCCTCAAAGTAATAGGCTGCATGGATAATTTTTGTTTTTGTGTTATTGTTAAAATGTGATTTTCAATATAAATATATAAACCAAATGCAGAGTTAATTTTATCAAGCTGTTATTCAGTGAGGTTTGAAATTCACACCACCTAGTAGACAGAAGTGTTCACCTAACAGTACACTAATTGGTTGTTAATACTGCTAGCTAAAGACCAGAGCAGATGTCAAGAGACTGTGCATCTTCTGCAGAAAAGATAACTCTACCTATCCATGTACAACAGCCACTACCATTTAAAAAGGTAGGTAGGGATTATGCATTACCCAGCAGGAAAGTGTCGAGGTTAATATCCCAGCTGAGTTATGGATCACAGAAAATCCTGCTGAGGGGGAATATTTAAGTCTGAATAAAATTCTGAGAAAAGTATAACGATATAACAGTACAGATATCCTCAAACTAAGATACTCTTTTTTGTGAAAAATTAAGCCAGAGAGAGGATTAGTTAATGAGCTGGATACCAGTTCTGTGTAAATTTCCCACAGCTTGTTGGCTGGATAATACAGACAGACAGAAAGCTCAAAGAGCTGACCTAAACCATAGGGAGCTTTAAGTGCAGGGTTCCATTTATTCCTGTACACCTGTCGCTACCTAGTAATAGTGTTGTCCAGATTGGATTGTTTAAATAAACTCGCTCTTCACTTCTGCCTTGATCTCTGTCCTGTGTAATCTAAAGATGGAGTAATTTCAAGGTAAGTGGTGAATCCCATTCCCTTATGTGTACCAGTTCTTAAAACCTAGATATTGGATCACTTTCACAGCTCCTAGGTTCACAAAACATTTTTACTGAACCGTGACACAGCATGCCAGTAGAAAACTTCCACCTTACTTCCGCTATGAGGTACAAAAAGAAAAACTAATTTCACAGCAAGGCTCTCTCCTTACTTATGTCTACAAAGAAGTGACTGCTATTTTCCCTTTGAAAGACTAATTGGAGCATAATTGTTTGATATCTCTCAAAGTTAGGAGAGATCAGGGAATGAGGGCAGGAATTACAGGCCACTGCGGAAGACTCTCTTCTATTATCTGCACCTACATGGTTTTCATCTCTCTTAGAACTGTGTCTACTGTCATCACTAGAGCTGCTTAATCCCGTGATATGATTATGAACCCTTTGATATACTGTCTTTAAAAGCCTAGCTATGTTTAATAAACATTGTTCAATCTCTCTTGTCTACTTCTTTCCTTAAAAAATAAACCATGGTTTCAGAGAAATGCTTGAAACATAAAACAAAAATATAAACGGGTGAAAAACTAGAAGACAAATAAAAATTCCACAAATGGTTATTATTTAAAAATAAAATCCCAAGATATTTTAAGATTTGACTCATTAGTTCTATATTTTGCTTGGACTTGACAACACTGAAAAGAGAGAAAAGGCAGCAACTTGGCAGTCTGTACGCCTGCAGCCCCTAGGCAGCATAGCTACATATTACTTTTGTTCTCTTAAAATTCTTCTAAGAATGTTTTCAAAACAGAATAGAACACCCCAGGCTGCATTTTTATTCTTAGCCATCTATGTTTTCTGAGTAGTTGCACCTTTCAGTCTTATATTTAACAATAGCTTATGTTCACCTTTCCTGAAAAAACTGCAGGAGCAGGCAAAGTACAGACATAACTCTCTGTAGTTATCCACAACATAATCTCAAAGTTCCATTTTCACCTCACTTCAAATCACAGTTAAAAGAATATCTTTTTTTTTTTTTTCCCTCCCTCTGGTTTAAATTGACTGCTATTACCTAATTCTGGGGATAGAGCTTGTACAAAAGATGAACTAAAGGAGAACTCTGTGGTATAACCCTATTAATATTTTGAATGATGAATGATGAAGACTATTTAAAAGGACTTTCTTAGCTCACTTGTATTATAATCATACCACCCCTTCTTCTTCTTTCCTATTCCTATAAAAACAAGGACTCCAGCACCTATTTATTCCCTTGGATGAAAAAAATAATTACTCTGCCCACATGTAGTGGACTTTCAGCTACAAATATTGAGAATCAAAACTGGTTACTATTGCATGTCTTATAAAACTGTCAAACAATAATTCATTTTTAACAGCAAATCCACTTACTAGCCTCTTTACTTTATAGATTTTCAATCCTTCTCATGTACTTTTTAAAATTTTCAACCTGAACTGTTCTCATGCAGGTGAATCTGATAAACATAGCAGATATCTTCTCATATGATTTTTCTTTCAATCAAATGACATTATCTCTCAGGATGTTTTCTGCTTCATTCAAAATTACAAGATGGGTTGATTATTCAGAAAATTCAGATCATTTCAAAGAATATAAAAATACAGTGCATTGGAAACAAGGGACAATTCCTGCTTCTCTCAAAAAGGGAAACTCACTAATATCACTTAATATGCATTAGCATAGACAAAAATAGTGATCAATTTGATTTTCCTGTTACTTACAGATAGGTAAAGACTTACTAATGACTTTGAAAAACATTGATGAATAAACTTATCTCCATAGTGCATTAAGTTGAATAAAAATAATACATTTCACTAAAATACTAGGTAAATGATTCTTCTAGCCCTTGTTTAGCTCTCACAGATCTGTAACAGATCTGATTTAAAAAATCAGGGCCAAAGTCCTTAAGAAACATTGATTTATTACTTTCCATTGATATTAACAAATAAAATAATTATGAATATATTTATTTCTAAGGCACAAAGCACTTACGGAAATTAGTGTTGTTTAAATGGTTTGCCATTATCAATGTTTCACTCCATTTCCATTAGCATTAGAACTCCTGACCCAATTTAGTAGCATAATAGGAGCCAAGTGCCTCAGGTAGGATCTGTATCCCTTGTGCTAAATGCTTCATAAATTCAAAGAAAGACAGACAGTGTTCCTAATTTGGCGGTTCAAGGCACATTTAATATATATGTACCTATGTATCTAAAAGAAACTGGCAATAAGAATAACAAGAGATACAAGGGCACTCAGTGGAAAACCTCATTAGTAACAGAGTTAGATAATGTCAGCAAGTGATAATGAGGGAGGACTTCCACTGTCTGCATATAAAGTTGTGAAATGGCATAATGAGGCCAAGCCAAGAGAAAAGTTTTCAGTGCATTCAGTGCTTGCTGCTATGAAGTATACAAAAGGAGAGACGTACTTGATAACATACAGAAGCTAATTCAAGAAACAAGTCACTGAGGAACTAAATAAAAATGACCACAATATAATTTGATTCAATATCTCAGGAGTACCAAATAAGAATATAATGGTTGAGATTCATCAAAATAAAG